CCCTTTAACTTTTGAGCAGAGGGTTGCTGTTTTTTCCTGTTTCAAGGGGGTTCCCGCCATCTTAACGGAAGCGCCCTTGATTTTGAAACGGGTGTTTTTGAGCTTCAGGGGAGATACGTTTCGCACTCGGGATCCTTTCCGGAGGATCAGAGCAGCGGTTTTGAAGCGAGGAACAAGATTTTCCAACTTGAAAACCACCCCTTTGGAATGCAAAACATTTCATTTACCACTCTTTGCCAGTGATCGAGGTATTTCTGGGCCATTTCTGCCATTTCTGGGACAGTGGTTTTATTTATATTTTGCAGACCGAAATTCACGGCCTTGCTTAATGGCACAGGTCTTACCAGCTGGGCCATGTAGTAGTAACTGTGAGAGGGACCTCGGAGTCCTAGTGGACAATCCCTTAAACAGGAGCCAGCCGTGTGCTGCAGCTGCCAAAAAGGCCAACATAGTGCTGGGCTGCATTAACAGAGGGATAGAATCGAGATTAGGTGAAGTGTTAATACCACTTTACAATGCCTTGGTAAGGCCACACTTGGAATACGGCATCCAGTTTTGGTCACCACGATGTCAAAAAGATGTTGAGACTCTAGAAAGAATACAGAGAAGAGCAACAAAGATGATTAGGGGATTGGAGGCTAAAACATACGAAGAACAGTTGCTGGAATTGGGTCTGTCTAGTTTAATGAAGAGAAGGACGAGGGGGGACAAGATAGCAGCCTTCCAGTATCTCAGGGGCTGCCCCAAAGAAGAGGGAGTCAAGCTATTCTCCAAAGCGCCTGAAGGCAGGACAAGAAGCAACGGATGGAAACTAACCAGGGAGAGAAGCAACCTGGAACTAAGGAGAAACTTCCTGACAGTGAGGACAATTAACCAGTGGAACCACCTGCCTCCAGAAGCAGTGAATGTTCCAACACTGGAAGTCTTTGAGAAGAGACTGGACAGCCATTTGTCTGAAATGATGTAGGTAGGGTTTCCTGCCTGAGCAGGGGGTTGGACTAGATGACCTCCAAGGTCCCTTCCAACAACAACAACAACAATAATTCTCAGAGCTGGTCAAAGAACACCTCCTCCTCCTCCCAAATTTGGATTGTATTCTTCATAAAACCCAACTGGTTATGGCAGTGGTTCTCAACCTTTTTAATGCTGCGACCCCTAACCGGTCGTAAGTCGAGGACTACTCAACCGGTCGTAAGTCGAGGACTACTCAGCTGGTGCAGCACCGTTTGCAGAATGGGACTTTTGGCAGGCTCAGCAGGGCAGAGACAGCCTGGACAATTCCTATTGGCTTTTGAAAGCCAATAGAATTAGACTCTATTCAAAAGAGTCTATTCTATTGGCTTTCAAAAGCCAATAGAATAAAAGGGAGTAGCACAGCTAAGGACAAGGGGGAAAAAATGGTGGACTGCGTTGTTTGGCGACCCCCGTGAAATGGTCATTCGACCCCAAATGGGGTCCCGACCCACAGGTTGAGAACCACTGGGTTATAGCATTTGTTCTCCAGGCCACAGGAAGTCCTCCAGTTACGACCGCGATGGGGCCCAAAATCCATGTTGCTACGCAAAACATTTCTTCAAGTGGCTTCTGCCCCATTTTTACGACTCGTCTTTGCCCCGGTTGTTAAGCGAACCATTTGCATTTGTTAAAAATGAGTTGGTCGTTAAGTGAATCTGACTTTCCCGCCGGCTTTACTTGTTCAGAAGGTCGCTAAAGAGGGAATCACGTAACCCCGGGGATGTTGCGAACGTCATAAATGTGAGTCGGCTGCCAAGCGTCCGAATGTTGATCGTGTGATCCACGGGGCCGTAAGTGTGAAAAACGGTCCTGAGTCGCTTTTTCAGTGGTGTTTGAACTTCCAATGGTCACTAAAGGGAGGGTCGTAAGCCGAGGACTACCTGTGCTGAATGAGAAACAACCACGATTTCTTTTCTTTTTTAAAACATGTTTTATTGATTTTTTTAACATCATCACCTTAATATTTGGTAAACAGCGTGTTGTCTGGCTTTTACGTTGAAAAAACAATCAATAAAAATTAGTTTAATTCTAGAATCCACCCACTGGCTTTGCTTGATTTTCTCTTCTTCCAATAATATTCTCTTTTGCCAACCTTGAATTAATACAATTCTTATTATTTAATAATAATAATAATAATAGTAAAGTTGGAAGGGACCTTGGAGGTCATCTAGTCCAACCCCCTGCTCGGGCAGGAAACCCTACACCATTTCGGACAAATGGCTGTCCAGTCTCTTCTTCAAAACTTCCAGTGTTGGAGCATTTACTGCTTCTGGAGGCAGGTTGTTCCACTGATTAATTGTTCTCACTGTCAGGAAGTTTCTCCGTAGTTCTAGGTTGCTTCTCTCCTTGATTAGTTTCCACCCGTTGCTTCTTGTCCTGCCTTCAGGTGCTTTGGAAAATAGCTTATTCCCTCTTCTTTATGGCAGCCCCTGAGATATTGGAATACTGCTATCATGTCCCCCCTTGTCCTTCTCTTCGTTAAACTAGACATACCCAATTCTAGCAACCGTTCCTTATATGTTTTAGCCTCCAGTCCCCTAATCATCTTTGTTGCTCTTCTCTGTGCTCTTTCTAGAGTCTCAACATCTTTTTTACATCGTGGTGACCAAAACTGGATGCAGTATTCCAAGTGTGGCCTTACCAAGGCATTGAAGAGTGGTATTAATACTTCGCGTGATCTTGATTCTATCCCTCTGTTAATGCAGCATAGTACTGTGTTGGCCTTTTTGGCAGCTGCCGCACACTGCTGGCTCATATTTAAGTGATTGTCTACTAGGACTCCGAGGTCCCTCTCACAGTTACTACTATTGAGCATGGTGCCACCTATGCTGTACTTGTGCATTTAAATCGGGAGTCTTCCAACTTGGCCCTTTTATGACTTGTGGACTTCAACTCCCAGAATTCCTCAGCCGGGCACGCTGGCTGAGGAATTCTGGAAGTTCACAAGTCATAAAAAGGCCAAGTTGGAAGATCCCGCAATTTAAATGAATGACAGTTAAATATAGACTTGTCTAATGTTTCTGCAAATAATACCTCCTATCCATATAGAAAGCTTCTTTTCTAAACCGATCGTCTTGATTGTCTCGTCATAGGTTCTGCTTACAAAATTATTTTAAATTTGTTTTCCCCACCATGTTCAAAACATTCTTAGTGGTTAAGATTTTCTCAACATCGATGACAATCGGGATTTCTGTTGACCAGCCTCTGTCCTCACATTGGCTGCCCATCAGTGTTAAAAGGCACTTCTTCCAATTGTTTGATCTTCCTGTATCTTGGTACATTGCTTGAAAGCTTTGGGGTACCACTGAGGACCACATCTGCTCTTGGCCTGGTGGGAAAGTAGCTTAGTAGTAGAGCTTTGCGTGAAGATGATCTGGTCTGTCTGTCTGTCTGCCTGCCATCCATCCATCCATCCATCCATCCATCCATCCATCCATCCATCCATCCATCCATCCCTCCCTTCCTCCCTCCCTCCATTTCTATCTATCATCTCTATTATCTCCCTCTGTTAAGTTTGTCTGTCTCTTATTATCTCTGCTGGATCTATCATCTCTATCTCTATTTCTATTTCTATTATTTCTCTCTCTGCAATAGTATCCAACTATCGGAGAGCTGTGGTGGCCCAGTGGTTAAAAAGCAGTACTGCAGGCTACCTCTGCTGACTGCTAGCCGTTTGGCAGTTCGATCCTGACCGGCTCAAGGTTGACTCCGACTTCCATTCTTCTGAGGTCGGTAAAATGAGCCCGTTTCTGGGAAGCCATAGGCTGACTCTGTAAAATTGCTTCGGGAGGGATGTCAAAGAACTATGAAGCGGCATAAAAGTCTAAGTGCTATTATCGCTTCCTTCCTTTTTTCCTTCCCTCCCTCCCTCCTTTCTCTCCCTTCTTTTTCCCTCCCTCCCTCCCTCCCTCGCTCCCTTCCTTCCTTCCTTGTCATGGTGGCGCAGTAGTTAGAATGCAGCATTGCAGGCTGACTGTCTCCACTGCCAGCAGTTCGATCCTGACCGGCTCAAGGTTGACTCAGCCTTCCAACCCTCCGAGGTCGATAAAATAAGGACCCAGATTGTTGGGGGGGAGGCAATAGGCTGACTCTGTAAACTGCTTAGAGAGGACTGTAAAGCACTGCGAAGTGGTATATAAGTCTAAGTGTTATTGCTATCTATGTCTGTCTGTTTGTCTCTGTATTTATCAATCTATATATATCTATATATGTCTATATCAAAACAAACAAATAAATGTGAACACCAGAGAAATTCTAAACTACAAAACCTATAAAAGGACTCTCCTACTGACTAGCATTTTAAGCCCTGATGATGTCGGCAGTTGTCGACGAAAGCCTGGCGTTTTGTATTAAACTTTTGTAGTTTAGAATTTCCCTGGTGTTCACGTTTATTGGTTTGTTTTGATTATGAATATACCCAGGGATCATATTTTTAGTGTTATTATTAATAAATATGTCTATATATGTAAAATGGTTTTGAAGATATATGTATATCTATATATCTATGTCTATCTGTATCTATGTCTATATCTCTATATCTATCTATCTCCATCTATCTATGTCCATATATCTCTATCTGTCTATGTCTGTCTAACTGTCTATGTCTATATATCTCTATGTATATATCTCTGTCTATCTGTCTACCTATGTCTATATATCTATATCCTGTCTGTCTCTGTTTGTCTGTCTCTGTCTGTCTCTGTCTCTGTCTGTCTGTCTGTATCCTATCTATCTATTATCTATCTATCTATCTATCTATCTATCTATCTATCTATCTATCTATCTATCTCTTTTTTTCTATCTTTATGTATAGTTGTCTGTCCATCTATCCATCTATCCATCCATTTTCAACATTTTCCTGATACGGAACTATAAACCCATCCTGGAATCTGGGCGGACCCAGTGGATTAAAACGAACAGAATGAAGGGATCTTTGCTTCGCCCTGGGTCTTGGGGCTTCCTAATGCTCCCCTGCTTCTTTCTAGGCCGTTTCCTGGAGACCTGCGCATCCAGCGCTCTTGATCCCACAACTTGGCACAACCGCCGTCGAGAATGTCCAGCTCAAGCTACCCTCCCAACCAAGGGGCCTTCAGCACAGAACAGGGCCGCTACCCGTCCCATTCGGTCCAGTATACCTTTCCCAGTGGCCGGCACCAGCAGGCAAGTAGCAGTGGGCCCCAGGGGGGGATTCTGGGTAATCTTGCAGGGCCCCTCCAGGATTCCTGGCTTCTAGGCGCAGGTAGTCCTCGACTTTATGGCCTTACAATTGAGCCCGAGATTTTCCGTCGTTAAGCGAGGCGGCTGTTAACCGAGTTTCGCCCCGTTTTACGATCTTTCTCGCCATGGCTGTTGAGTGGATCGCTGCGGTTGCTGAGCTAGTCACACGGTGGTTAAGTGAATCCAGCTTCCCTATTGACTTGGCTCGTCAAAAGGTCGCAGAAGGGGATCATGTGACCCCCCCCCATGGGACGCTGCCACCGTCAACGAGTCAGTTGCCAAATGTCTGAACTCTGATCCCGTGACCCATGAAGATGCGGCAACGGTTGTAAGTGCGAGAACCCGCAATAAGTCCCTTTTTTCACAGTATCGTCGGAACTTCAAATGGTCACTAAATGAAGCAGTAAGTTGAGGATAATTTGTGCCAAGCTTGATTTTGCTTCTTCTCTTTGAGTCGTCAAAAATGTTATTTTATTTTCCTCAACAAATATAATAATAATAATAATAATAATAATAATAATAATAATAATAATAATATCCTACAAATAGAAATAGAAAGACTGTGGCAAAAGCAAGCAAGGGTAGTACCAATAGTCATAGGCGCCTTGGGTGCAATCCCAAAACAGCTGGAGCACCACTTGAACACCATTGGCATTGACAAATTCGCTATTAGTCAATTGCAAAAGGCAGCCTTACTAGGAACTGCTTCCATCCTGCGACGATATCTGTAATACCATCAAACATCCACATCTGCCTATCCCAGGTCCTGGGTAAGGACTCGATAGGTAGACAAAATGCCAAATCCAGTCTGAACATCTGGCTGACTGTGCGATGATCCATAGTAATAATACTAATTAAGCCTCCTGGCTGAGGAATTCTGGGAGTTGAAGTCCACAAGTCATCAAAGGGCCAAGTTGGAAGACCCCTGGCCTAGACCTAGCAGCTAACTAACTTAACAACTTCAGTGATTCACTTAACAACTGCAAGCTCACTTCACAATTATCTCACTTAACAAGAGAAATTTTGGGCGCAACTGTGGTCGTAAGTCAAGGACTACCTGTAATCATGACCTAATGATATTTCTAGAATTTACATCAATATTAGTCAAAAGCTAGACATTGCTTAAAATGAGCTTCAGATAATGAGACATTGACCCCATTATTTATTTTCCAGATAACGATTAACCCCATTTCTGCCCAGCAGACATTCCTGGCATCTGTCACTCAATTTCAGTTAATAATAATAAACCCTATACCATTTCAGACAGGTTACTGTCCAGTCTCTTTTTGAAAATCTCCAGTGATGGAGCACCCACAATTTCTGCTGGCAAGCTGTTCCACCAGTTAATTATCCTCACTGTTAGGAAGTTTCTCCTTAATTTCTCATTGCTTCTCTCCTTGATTAGTTTCCATCCGTTCCTCTTGTCCTGCCTTCAGGGCCTTTGGAGAATAATTTGACACCCTCTTCTTTGGGGCAGCCCCTGAGATAATAGAGTAGGAATAGAATGGAATGGAATGGAATAGAATAGAATAGAATAGAATAGAATAGAATAGAATAGAATAGAATAGAATAGAATAGAATAGAATAGAATAGAATAGAATAGAATAGAATAGAATAGAATAGAATCTGGAAGGGACCTTGGAGGTCTTCTAGTCCCACCCCCCGCTCAAGCAGGAAAACCTATATCATTTCAGACAAGTGACTGTCCAGTCTTTTCTTAAAAATCTCCAGTGATGGAGTGCCCACGATTTCTGGTGACAAGCTGTTCCACTGGTTGATTGTCCTCCCTGTCAGGAAGTTTCCTTAATTCCAGGTTGCTTCTCTCTTTGATCAATTTCCAACCATTGTTTCTCGTCCTTCCCTCTGGTGCTTTGGAGAATAACGTGACCCCCTCTTCCTTGTGGCAGCCCCTCAGATACTGGAATACCGCTATCGTGTCTCCCCTATTTCTTCTTTTCTTCAGACTAGCCAAACCCAAGTCCCGCAGCTGTTCTTCGTATGTTTTGGTCTCCAGACCTTGGATCGTCTTAGTTGCTCTTCTCTGAATTTTTTTCCAAACTCTCAACATCTTTTTTGTGATAGGGTGACCAAAACTGGCTGCACTATTCCAGGTGTGGCCTCACTAGGGTTTTATAAAGTGGTACTAAGTACTTTGTGTGATCTTGATTCTACAGCCCAGGACTGTATTAGCTTTTTTGGATGCTGCTGCACATGACTGGCTCCTTGGATGAGAAGCGAAACGTCTTCAACGTGTTAGGAATAAAATTTTAGAATAAAAAGTAAAGTTAAGTGACACGTACTCTGTAAAATATCTACACGTAGACTGCAAGATTTCTACACAATTTCTACATGTACACGTACCTTGTAAGAGTTCTGCACGTAGGCTGTAGGGTTTCCACACTGAGCTGTAGGATTTCATGATAAAGTACATATAAGGGAATAGGTGAAGCAAAGTAGTAAGGGGCAGGGATAATGTATTTTGTTTAGGCCAGCGGTTCTCAACCTGTGGGTCGGGACCCCATTTGGGGTCGAACGACCATTTCACGGGGGTCGCCCAACAACGCAGTCCGCCATTTTTCCCCCCCCCCTTTTCCTTAGCTCTGCTACTCCCTTTTATTCTATTGGCTTTTGAAAGCCAATAGAATAGACTCTCTTGAACAGAGTCTAACTCTATTGGCTTTCCAAAGCCAATAGGAATGGTCCAGGCTGTCTCTGCCTTGTTGAGCCCGCCAAAAGCCCCATTCTGCAAACGGGGCTGCACCAGTGGAGCAGTCCTCGACTTACGACCGGTTGAGTAGTCCTCGACTTACGACCGGTTGGGGGGGTCGCGGCATTAAAAAGGTTGAGAACCACTGGTTTAGGCGGTTCTGATAAGATTGTAAGATGGGAACCAAAACTGGCTGCCGTATTCCAGGTGTGGCCTTACTAGGGCTTTCTAAAGCGGCACTAACACTCTCGTTCTGTCGGTCTTGAAGAAATGCCTCTCTCGCCCTCCCCCCCAACCGCCATTCCTTTAATTCCTTTCCTTCGTAGGAGTTTGCCGTCCCAGATTTCCGCACGTCCCACTTGGAAGTCAGCCAGGGGAGCCAACTTTTGCAGCAGCAGCAGCAGCTCCGTCGTCGCCCGTCTTTGCTTTCCGAATTTCATCCTGGCTCGGACCGGTGAGCGCTTGGGTATTTTCTGCACGTATTTGCGGGGGGGTGTGTTTCCCCTTGCAAGCAGCCCTTCAGATGAGCTCTGAGTCGGTTCTTGTGTGTGTTGGGGTGTACAGCATAGGGTGTGGATAAAGAGAGCAATAGTAGCCTTGGGTGTGGATTTATAATTGGGCGACCCATCTGAGCGGCATCTTTTTGTGGGCTTCTTGGTGCTCCCTGGGTTTTCCTGCAGACATTTTGTGACCTAGCTAGGGAACATCATCAGTGCTAGAAGGGAGACGGGTTTGTGAGAGGAGGAGGAGGAGGAGGAAAAGGAGGAGGAGGGTGGTGGCTTTGGGCTCCTTAGAGCTCTCTGAGTTTGGTGGTTTTCCTGCAGACGTTTCATGACCCAGCTAGGGAACATCATCAGTGCTAGAAGGGAGAAGGGTTTGTGAGAGGAGGAGGAGGAGGAGGAGGAGGAAAAGGAGGAGTAGGGTGGTGGCTTTGGGCTCCTTACAGCTCTCTGAATTTGGTGGTTTTCCTGCAGACATTTCATGACCCAACTAGGGAACATCATCAGGGCTAGAAGGGAGAAGGATCTGCTGAGAGATGGACGAAGACAAGGACGAGAACAACAGCTGTGGGTATCCTTGGTGCTCTCTGAGCTGGGTGGGTTTCCCCGTTTCATGACCCAGCTAGGTAATATCATCAGGACTAGATGACGTTCCTTCTCCCCTTTGCGAGGAGAAAGGAAGGAAGGGGAGCAGGGGGAGGGGGAAGAGGACTGTGGGGTCCTTAGTGCTCTCTGACCTGGCTGGTTTTCCAGCAGGCGTTTCACGACCCAACTAGGTAACGTCATCAGTGCTAGAAGGGAGTGAAATGTGCTCTCTGTTTATATATATTGGCTACAGTAAACCACAGCTTATTACCCAGAAGAAAATAACACTTTCATGAACATGGCAGAACAAGCTACGATAAATAAATCCTTTCTAGCACTGATGAGGTTGCCTAGCTTATTCATGAAACGTCTGCAAGAAAACAACCAAGTTGTGAGAGCATCAAGGACCCCACAGTTGTCCTCCTCCTCCTCCTCCTCCTCCTCCTCCTCCTCCTCCTCCTCCTCCTCCTCCTCCTCCTCCTGCTCCTGCTGTCCACAAACCGCACTGACTCCCTTCTAACATTGATGACGTTACCTAGTCAGGTCATGAAACGTCTGCAAGAAAACTGCCAGCTCAGAGATCAATGTGGACCCCACAGTTGTCGTCGTCGTCCTCCTCCTCCTCCTCCTCCTCCTCCTCCTCCTCCTCCTCCTCCTCCTCCTCTCCTCCTCCTCCTCCTCCTCCTCCTCTTCCTCCTCCTCTACCATCTCCTCCTCCTCCTCCTCTTCACAAACCGCACTGACTCCCTTCTAACATTGATGACGTTACCTAGTCAGGTCATGAAACGTCTGCAAGAAAACTGCCAGCTCAGAGATCAATGTGGACCCCACAGTTGTCGTCCTCCTCCTCCTCCTCCTCCTCCTCCTCCTCCTCCTCCTCCTCCTCCTCCTCCTCCTCCTCCTCCTCCTCCTCCTCCTCTTCCTCCTCCTCCTCCTCTACCATCTCCTCCTCCTCCTCCTCTTCACAAACCGCACTGACTCCCTTCTAACATTGATGATGCTACCTAGTCAGGTCATGAAATGTCTGCAAGAAAACTGCCAGCTCAGAGATCAATATGGACCCCACAGTCGTTGTCATCGTCCTCCTCCTCGTCCTCCTCCTCTTTTCCTTCTTTCTTTCTCCCTTTCTCCTCCTCCACTCCACAAACCTCACTCCCTTCTAGCATTGATGATGTTCCCTAGTTGTGAAAAGAAACGTCTGCAAGGAAACCACCTAGCTGAGAGAAAATCAAGATTCCATTCTCCTCCTTTTTTCCCTTCTTTCTTCTCCTCTTTCTCCTTTTCTCCTCCTTCATCCCTTTCTCCTTCTCCTCCACGCCACAAACCCCACTCCCTTCTAGCACTGATGTTCCCTAATTGAGTCAAGAAACCTCTGCAAGGAAGCCGCCCAGCTCAAGAGAGAATCAACCCTATTTTCCTCCTCCTCCTCCTCATCCCCAGCTCCCTTTAAACACTGATGATGTTACCTAGCTGGGCCATGAAACGTCTGCAAGGAAACCTAGCTCAGAGAGCACCAGGGCCACAGTCCTTTCCTTCCTTCCTTCCTTCCTTCCTTCCTTCCTTCCTTCCTTCCTTCCTTCCTTCCTCCCTCCCTCCCTCCCTCCCTCCCTCCCTCCCTCCCTCCCTCCCTCCTCCTCCTCCCTTCTAGCACTGATGATGTTCCCTAGTTGGGTCATGAAACGTCTGCAAGAAAACCACCCAGCTCAGAGAGCACCAAGGATCCCACGGCTCAATTATTCTCTTTTACCTGTTAAATCTTTTTCTTTTACTTATTTCTTGAGCTGGTTTGGGAGACCTCGGATCGGAGCAGCTACAGCTGGGGGTTTCCCCCGCTTCGACCTTCATGTCTTCCCCACCGTCTCATCTTTACCCTTCTTCTTCCTCCAGGCCTCAGGAGAGGAGGTCTGCCTACGAGGCCCAGTTCCACCCTGGCCCGTCCCAAGGCGATCATGACGGGCTGGATTCCAAGCGGCCACGCCTGGATCAAGTTTCCGACCCTCATTACCAGCGGGTCGGTGCGACGTCGGTCCTGCCCTTGGCCCACCAGCTGCAGGAAGGACTGCGATCCTCAGAGTTAAAGAAGGTAAAAGAGACCCAAGGTGGGTTTGGGCTTTTGGGGGGGCAGCCAGTCAACCAATCAATACGTCTCAAAGAAGACCGGGTGATTCGCTTCAGAACGGCAGCCATTTTGCTTAGCAACATGTGGCAAAAATCTGGTGAAATCTGGACATAGCTGGCTGAACAGCTGTCCTGCTTAGCCACAGAGAGGTTGTAGATTATGGTCGTAAGTCAAGGATCTCCCGGTGTAGATTGATCTAAAAATTTACAATATTGTCGTAATACAGGTGTGAGACTTCCAAGGTTTCCACCTCCTTGTCATCACATGAGCAAAGACGCTCGGTCTTCTCAGATTTGTTCACAGGTTCAGGGGTTAAAAAATTCACGTTCCAGTGGTGTGAATGGAGTTCTCTTGTCTGTTTTCTTTTTATTATTTTATTTTATTTTATTATTATTTTACTTTATTTTATTTTTTATTTTATTTTATTTTAATTTAATTTTATTTATTTTTTATTTTATTTTATTTTATTTTTATTTTATTTTTTATTTTTATTTTATTTTTTATTTTATTTTTATTTTATTTTACTTTATTTTACGTTATTTATTTTTTATTTTATTTATTTTATTATTTTTTATTTCATTTTATTCATTTTATTATTTTATTTTATACTTTACTTTTTATGTATTTATTTTATTTTATTTTATTTATTTTATTATTTATTTTACTTTATTTTTTTATTTTACTTTATTTTACGTTATTTTACTTTATTTTATTTTACTTTATTTTTTATTTTATTTTATTTTATTTTTATTTTATTTTTTATTTTTATTTTTTATTTTATTTTTATTTTATTTTACTTTATTTTACGTTATTTATTTTTTATTTTATTTATTTTATTATTTATTTTATTTCATTTTATTCATTTTATTATTTTATTTTATACTTTACTTTTTATGTATTTATTTTATTTTATTTTATTTATTTTATTATTTATTTTACTTTATTTTTTTATTTTACTTTATTTTACGTTATTTTACTTTATTTTATTTTACTTTATTTTTTATTTTATTTTTTATTTTATTTCTTTTATTTTATTTATTTTATTTTATTATTTTATTTTACTTTATTTTATTACTTTATTTTTTATTTATTTTATTTTATTATTTTATTTTATTATTTACTTTATTTCATTTATTTTTTTCATATGCTGCGTTCAACTCCCAGAATTCCCCAGCCAAAACCACCGTGGCTGAGAATTCTGGAATAGGGACACCATGGATGAGGAGAAGGCTATTTCTCCCCCCCCCCCCTCTCTCTCTCTCTCTCACACACACACACACACACACACACACACACACACACACACACACACAGACAGCTTAATGTTTGCTGGCTGAATTCAGGTCAAGTTGAAAAGTCCTTCTAGCGGGTGATTAATCTTTAACTTGTGTTTTCCGAGCAAAGGTTGAGAAGTGGTAGGGCTGGTCCTGGGCCAGCTTTTCCTGTTCTTATCTGCTCCTGCGGCTGCTTGTTGTGAGCCAAGGTGGGCGTCTGCCGTAGAGGGTGTGGTAATAATAAAGAACCTTGCCTTTGGGCATCAGAGAGCCAGTTGGGTTAAAACAGGAGTCAGTGAGTTCTAGTCCCGCCCCAGGCATGAAAGATAACTGGGTGATTTTGGGTCAATCACCAGGAGTCGGTGAGTTCTAGTCCTGCCTTAGCCATGAAAATCAACTGGGTTGACTTTGGGCCAATTACCAGGAGTTGGAGAGTTCTAGTCCCGCCTCAGGCATGAAAGATAACTGGGTGATTTTGGATCAATCATCAGGAGTCGGTGAATATCTAGTCCTGCCTTAGCTATGAAAGCCAACTTGGTGACTTTGGGCCAATCACCAGGAGTTGGTGAGTTCTAGTCCTGCCTTAAGCATAAAAGTCAATTGGGTGACTTTGAGCCAATCACCAGGAGACGCTGAGTTCTAGTCCCGCCTTAGCCATGAAAGCCAGCTGGGTGACTTTGGACCAATCACCAGGAGACGGTGAGTTCTAGTCCCGCCTTAGGCATGAAAAAGACCAATGTGAGACTTTTGGACCAATCACCAGGAGACGGTGAGTTCTAGTCCCGCCTTAGGTGAAGCCAGCTGGGTGACTTTGGGCCAATCACCAGGAGACTGAGTTCCCGCCTTAGGCATGAAAGCCAGCTGGGTGACTTTGGGCCAATCACCAGGAGACGGTGAGTTCTAGTCCTGCCTTAGGCATGAAAGCCAGCTGGGTGACTTTGGGCCAATCACCAGGAGACGCTGAGTTCTAGTCCTGCCTTAGGACTGAAAGCCAGCTGGGTGACTTTGGGCCAATCACCAGGAGACGCTGAGTTCTAGTCCTGCCTTAGGACTGAAAGCCAGCTGGGTGACTTTGGGCCAATCACTAGGAGACAGTGAGTTCTAGTCCCGCCTTAGCCATGAAAGCCAGTTGGGTGACTTTGGGCCAATCACCAGGAGACGGTGAGTTCTAGTCCCACCTTAGGCCTGAAAGCCAGCTGGGTGACTCTGGGCCAGTCACCAGGAGATGGTGAGTTCTAGTCCCACCTTAGGCATGACAGCCAGCTGGGTGACTTTGGGCCAATCACCAGGAGGTGGTGAGTTCTAGTCCCGCCTTAGACATGACAGCCAGCTGGGTGATTTGGGGCCAATCGCTCTCAGTCCAACTCACCTTGCAGGATTTGTTGTGGCAAAAACAGGAGAAGGAAGGAATGTCCACTGCTTATAAAAAAGGTTACTTATAAAAAAGGTAGAAATAGATAAAAATAAACATCCTTTTTTGGGAACTACAGGTCGTCCTCAACTTACAGTTCGTTCAGTGACTGTTCAAACTTAACACCATTAACTGGAAAAAGTGACGTTTTACTGTTTTCCCACACTTAACAACCATGGCAGCCGCCTCGTGGTCACGTGATCAAAATTCAGACGGCTCGTATTTATGATGGCCGCAAAGTCCCGGGGGGGGGTGTCACGTGATCCCCTTTTGCGCCCTTCTGACGGGGGGGGGGAACCAGATTCACTTAACCACCGGGTTACCAACTGGACAATGGCTGTGGCAAGCAGGGTCGTAAAATGGGGCAACACTCACTTCGTTGTCTCACTTTGCCACGTAAAACCTGGGGCTCCCTTTGTGGTCGTAAGCCGAGGACAAGCTCTTAACTTTTTTTTTAATCGCTGATCTGTCCTGCTCGGCGTTCCGGCACCGAGTTCACCCCGCTTTCTCCTTCCTTTCTGCCCCCCCCCCAAATGGCAGGAGCCCGTCTTCGGAGGCAAGCATGAAGACCCGCCCTTGCCCCTGTCGAGCCAGTCGTGCGGGGAGGATCAGAACGCCTCCCCCTCCAAGCTGTCGAAGGAAGAGCTGATCCAGAGCATGGACCGGGTGGACCGGGAGATCGCCAAAGTGGAGCAGCAGATCCTCAAACTGAGGAAAAAGCAGGTCAGTTCTCTTTGGGGAGAACGGGAATAACAGAATAACCACGCGGGAAGGGACCCCGGAGGTCTTCTAGTCCAACGCCCTGCTCAGGCAGAGAAGCAACCTGGAATTAAGGAGAAACTTCCTAACAGTGAGGACAATTAACCAGTGGAACAGCTTGCCACCAGAAGTTGTGGGTGCTCCATCACTGGAGGTTTTTAAGAAGAAGCTAGACCAGTGATTCTCAACCTTTCTAATGCCGTGACCCCATAATACAGTTCCCCATGTTGTGGTGACCCCCAAGTGGGTGTGGCCACCAATAAGAGGGAGTAGGACAGCTAGGGAAAAGGGAAAAAAATGGCGGACAGCATGGTTTGGTGACCCCCGTGAAATGGTCATTCGACTCCAAATGGGGTCCCGACCCACAGGTTGAGAACCACTGAGCTAGACAGTCACTTGTCTGAGATGGTATAAGTCCTCCTGGTCGAATAGGGGGGCTGGACTAGAAGACCTCCGAGGTCCCTTCCAGCTCTCTGCTATTCTACTAATACTAATACTATATTTTATTAGGACAGCCAAGGAATTTGTCTCTGGTGCAGAAGCTCTCAAGTGTACATGCAAAGCCACAGAGTAATAATAATCGTAATAGTGATGCCAATAAGAGGGAACCGTAGAGGAGATGAGAAGGATAATAATACTACAGCTGTACAATGTGGATGAATATATTTAGACATAAGACCGTACTCTGAGGATTAGGTGTTCAGCAGAGTGAACGCACGAGGGGAAAAAACTCTCCTTACGCCTACTTCAGTGTTTCTCAACCTTGACCATTTTAAGGCATGTGGACTTCAACTCCCAGAATTCCACAGCCAGCAGCGCTGGCTGTGGAATTCTGGGAGTTGATGTCCACATGCCTTAAAATGGTCAAGGTTGAGAAACACTGGCCTAGTTGTTTTGGCATGTAATGCCTAAGGTGGAGTCCCGAGGGAAAGAGTTGAACTAGGTTACATCCAGGATGTGGGGGGGTCTGTACTTATTTTCTCAGCCCCCCTTCTGAAACCCCCCTCCCCCCCAACATAGAAGTCTCCTATGGAAGGTAGGCTGGTTGCAATGATTTTTTTTCTGCAGTCTCAACTATCCATTAGAGCAGGGCTCTTCCAACTTGGCCCTTTGATGACTTGTGGACTTCAACTCCCAGAATTCCTCAGCCAGCATGCACGCTGGCTGAGGAATTCTGGGAGTTGAAGTCCACAAGTCATAAAAGGCACGCTGGCTAAGGAATTCTGGGAGTTGAAGTCCACAAGCAGGGTCTTCAGACTGGCCCTTTTAGGACTTGTGGACTTCAACTCCCAGAATTCCCCAGCTAGCGTGTATGGAATTGAAGTCCACAAGTCATAAAAGGCATGCTGGCTGAGGAATTCTGGGAGTTGAAGTCCACAAGCAGGGTCTTCAAACTGGCCCTTTTAGGACTTGTGGACTTCAACTCCCAGAATTCCTCAGCTAGCGTGTATGGAATTGAAGTCCACAAGTCATAAAAGAGCCAAGTTGGAAGACCCCTGCTTGTGGACTTCAGCTCCCAGAATTCCTCAGCCAGAAAAGGGCCAAGTGTGAAGACCCCTGTCTTAAAGCATCCTGGCGGAGGAATTCTGGGAGTTGAAGTCCACAAGTCCTAAAAGGGCCAAGTTGGAAGACCCCTGTCTTCAAGCCTCCTGGCTGAGGAATTCTGGGAGTTGAAGTCCAGAAGTTATAAAAGGGCCAAGTTGGAAGACCCCAGCTTGTGGACTTCAACTTCCAGAATTCCTCAGCCAGAAAAGGGCCAAGTTGGAAGACCCCTGTCTTAAAGCCTCCTGGCTGAGGAATTCTGGGAGTTGAAGTCCATGAGTCATAAAAGGGCCAAGTTGGAAGACCCCTGTCTTAAAGCAACCTGGCTGAGGAATTCTGGGAGTTGAAGTCCACAGGTCCTAAAAGGGCCCAGTTGGAAGACCCCCGCCTTAGAATCTCGTCCAATATTGCTGTGATTGCAATTGCTGGGCGACCCCTCTCCTTCCTACCTCACCGAGGCAACATCTGGCCGATCCAGATGTTCGCCTTATCCTCTCTGACTCACGGCGGGCTTGTGTGGCTGACGTTTTCCCCCTCCCATCCCTCTTGTCTCTTAGCAACAGCTGGAGGAAGAAGCCGCCAAACCGCCTGAACCGGAGAAGCCCGTCTCCCCTCCGCCGGTGGAGCAGAAACATCGCAGCATCGTCCAGATTATCTACGATGAGAATCGGGTAAGGTTTTTCCTCCCTTCTCCAGGCGCCTGGCGTAGCCTTCTGAGAACTTCCCTGGAAAGGATGGGGGGGGGGGAGGTTTGGGGTCCTCTTCAACAGGGGTCCTCCTTTCCCCAGCCGCTCTCAAACGCTCTCTCTCGCCGTTCCGTGTGTTGTTTCCGTTGCCCGACGTTGCCGAAAAAAATCCCACCTGGGGAGAGCTAATAGCTAAGAGTGCAGAGAAGAGCAACTAAGAGGATTAAAGGCCTGGAGACTAAAACATAGGAAGAACGGTGGCAGGATTTGGGTTTGGCTGGTCTAGAGAAAAGAAGAACTTGGGGGGGGATATGATAGCAGCAGTCCAGTTTTTGTGGGGCTTCCATAAACAAGAGAGGGGGGTTAACCTATTCTCCAAAGCACCTGAAGGCAGGACCAAAAACAGTGGATAGAAACTGTCCACTCCCAGAATCCCCCAGCCAGCATGCTTTAAGAGGGGTAGACTCAAACTCCCAGAATTCCCCAGCCAGCCATGCTTTAAGAGGGGGGGGGGACTTCCACTCCCAGAATTCCCCAGCCAGCCTGCTTTAAGAGGGGAGGATTTCCACTCCCAGAATTCCCCAGCCAGATACGGGCTGAAGCATTTTGAGAGTTGAAATCCATCCATCTTAAAGTTGCCATGATTGAAAAACAGTGGAATTGATACTCAGGTAGAAATAATAACAATTATTATTATTATTATTATTATTATTATTATTATTATTATTATTATTATTATTATTAATGATAAAGTTGGAAGGGACCTTGGAGGTCATCTAGTCCAACCCCCTGCTCAGGAGGAAGGAAACCCTATACCATTTCGGACAAATGGCTGTCCAGTCTCTTCTTGAAAACTTCCAGTGTTGGAGCATTCACCGCTTCTGGAGGCAGGTTGTTCCACTGGTTAATTGTCCTCACTGTCAGGAAGTTTCTCCTTAGTTCTAGGTTGCTTCTCTCCTTGGTTAGTTTCCACCCGTTGCTTCTTGTCCTGCCTTCAGGTGCTTTGGAGAACAGCTTGACTCCCTCTTCTTTATGGCAGCCCCTGAGATACTGGAAGGCTGCTATCCTGTCCCCCCTCGTCCTTCTCTTCGTTAAACTAGACATACCCAATTCTAGCAACCGTTCCTTATATGTTTTAGCCTCCAGTCCCCTAATCTTTGTTCCTCTTCTCTGCACTCTTTCTAGAGTCTCAGCATCTATTTTTACCTCTGAGGGGCTTTGAGGGGCTGCCACAAAAAAGAGGGGGTCAACCTGTTTTCCAAAGCCCCTGAAGGCAGGACAAGAAGCAACTGGTGGAAATGAACCAAGGAGCAATGCAACCTAGAATTAAATTGAAATTTCCTGACAGAAGAATTAGAACAACAGAACTGGAAGGGGCCTTCGAGGTCATCTAGTCCAACCCCCCGCTCAGGCAGGAAACCCTATACCATTTCAGACAAATGGCTGTCCAGTCTCTTCTTAAAGACTTCCAGTGTTGGAGCATTCACAGCTTCTGGAGGCAGGTTGTTCCACTGGTTAATCCCTCTCACTGTCAGGAAATTTCTCCTTAGTTCTAGGTTTAGGTTTAGGTAATTAACCAGTGGAACCACCCGCCCCCAGAAGCGGTGAATGCTCCAACGCTGGAGGTTTTTGAGAAGAGACTGGACAGCCCTTTGTCTGAAATGGGATAGGCTTTCCTGCCTGAGCAGGGTTGGACTAGATGACCTCCAAGGTTCCTCCCAACTCCGTTACTCTGTTACATAGTTCTTTTTCCCTGTCTGCAAACAGTTCACTCGAGGGACTGACTGACGTGTAGGCGAGGGTTAAAAGAAAAAACAAAACCAAAACTGGCAGCTTTACACTATGATCAAAGTAAATGGAATAACGCCCTTCTGTCGAACTCGGCTTCTGGGGATTTTTCCCCATTTTCTTGGGAGCGTTTCAAAAAAAAGAAAGTTATTTCCGCCTTTGTCTGGGATATGTTTTTCGCCTTCCCGGTCTAGCCAACAGCTGGAAACAGCTTTCCGGGTGGTCTCTCCTCCCAGTTCTGACCTGAGCAGACCCTGTTTAACTTCGGAGAGCAGCCCAGATGTTGTGTTTTTTTGTGTGTGTTGTGTTTTTTTTTTTTAAGACAGACTGTTGTTCCTTTTTGGTCGATAACGGGTCGCCCTGTGTTTTGTAACATTCTCACAACGGAGGCAAAAAAAAAGACCAGCGCTGAACTGTGGACTGTCTTGCAAAATGGCAAAAGAAATGACTGTTGTTATTTATCGAATTTTATGGGCCACACAAAAGTAGAAAGAAAAACATTAAAGAGATCCCGTTAGCGCAGTGATTCTCAACCTGTGGGTGGGGACCCCATTTGGAGTCGAACGACCATTTCACGGGGGTCGCCTAACAACGCAGTCCGCCATTTTTTTCCCCCTTTTCCTTAGCTGTGCTACTCCCTTTTATTCTATTGGCTTTTGAAAGCCAATAGAATAGACTCTCTTGAATAGAGTCTAATTCTATTGGCTTTCAAAAGCCAATAGGAATTGTCCAGGCTGTCTCTGCCCTGCTGAGCCCACCAAAAGTCCCATTCTGCAAACGGTGCTGCACCGGTTGAGTAGTTCTCGACTTACGACCGGTTGAGTAGTCCTCGACTTACGACCGATTGGGGGTCGCACCATTAAAAAGGTTGAGAACCACTGTGTTAGCGGTTAAGGCTGGAAATCAGGAGACTGTAGCAGCCAAAATTGTGGAAACCTTTTGGGAAAAAGTGTATTTTTGAGGTTTGATGGCTAATAACACCCCTTTCTTTTTGAAGTAGTACCATAAAATTATATACCAATGGAAAGATAATTTAATCAAAAATGCAATGCAACAAAGTTTGTTCAATTGCCTGTATTGTGTTCTCTGAAAAGTTAGAGCCAAATAACCAGAAAAAAGAAGCACAATTTGCTCAGGTTGGTCTCAGGTAGCTTTCCTTCACCTGATTGTAGCCAATGAGCAGGAGTGTTTAGAGAGCCAATCAGGTGTCCTCTTGTTTTGGCCATGAGCCAATCAGATCACAGTAGGATCCAGTTATTGATGTCATGTGTTGAAGCCGAGAGGAGGACATTTGTCAGTGTGTTATGTAATGGCTATCAAGTTGGTTGGGTTTTTCTGTGTTCTTTCATTTAGTGAGCTTGTAAAACGTAATAAAATGAAAGTCATGGTGCAAAGAGTTGACTGGTTGCCCAGAAAGCGATGTAAAATAGTATTACTAAGTGAACAAGGCTACAGTTATAAAGAAATTAGAAGAAAAATGGGTGGAAACTTAACCAAAGGTGGCATTTCTACTGTACACTTTTCCCAAAAGGTTTCCACAATTTTGGCCACTAATGTAGTTCCGCCTTAGGATGAAAGCTCACTGAGTGACATTGGGCCAGTCACCAGGAGACTGTGAGTTCTAGTCCCGCCTTCATGCATGAAAGCCGGCTGGGTGACTGGGCCAATCACCAGGAGACTCTGAGTTCTAGTCCTGCCTTCATGCATGAAAGTCAGCTGGGTGACTTTGGACCAGTCACCAGGAGACGGTGAGTTCTGGTCCCGCCTTCATGCATGAAAGCCAATGGTGTGACTGTGGGCCAATCACCAGGAGACTGTGAGTTCTAGTCCCACCTTCATGCATGAAAGCCAACTGGGTGACTGTGGACCAATCATCAGGAGACTGTGAGTTCTAGTCCCACCTTCATGCATGAAAGCCAACTGGGTGACTGTGGACCAATCATCAGGAGACTGTGAGTTCTAGTCCTGCCTTCATGCATGAAAGCCAGCTGGGTGACTTTGGACCAGTCACCAGGAGACGGTGAGTTCTAGTCCTGCCTTCATGCATGAAAGCCAATGGTGTGACTGTGGGCCAATCATCAGGAGACTGTGAGTTCTAGTCCCGCCTTCATGCATGAAAGCTGGCTGGGTGACTGTGGACCAATCACTAGGAGACTGTGAGTTCTAGTCCCGCCTTTATGCATGAAAGCCGGCTGGGTGACTGTGGACCAATCATCAGGAGACTGTGAGTTCTAGTCCCGCCTTCATGCATGAAAGCCGGCTGGGTGACTGGGCCAATCACCAGGAGATTGTGAGTTCTAGTCCCGCCTTCATGCATGAAAGTTGACTAGGTGACTGTGGGCCAATCACCAGGAGACTGTGAATTCTAGTCCCGCCTTAGGATGAAAGCTGGCTGGGTGACTTTGGACCAGTGACCAGTCAATGACCATTCGAAGTTGCAATGGCCCCGAAAAAAGTGACTTGTGGACGGATCCTCACCTTCACGACCGTTGCCGCCTCCTCACGGTGACGTGATTCTCGTAACAACTGCAACAATTCTCTGAACGGCAGTGGCAGAAAAGGCCATAAAATCAGGCACCACATGATAAAATTTCCCGTTACAGTCGTAAGTTGTGGACCGCCTGTAATTCTGAAAACACTTCCTTGAAAAGGAGCGTTTTTGCTTAGCATATTCACCAACCACAATGCTATAAAAGAACATTGAATTACTGAGATTTTACAAAGGTTCCTTGGAAATTCTGGATAAATCTTTATTTCTCTTTCCCTGCCTTGCAGAAGAAAGCCGAGGAAGCTCATAAGATTTTCGAAGGGCTGGGCCCGAAAGTGGAGCTGGTGAGTTTCTCTCTCTCTCTCTTTCTCCTTCTTACGGCTTTTCATCCCCTTCTTGAAAAGGGACTTTCTTCGAACGCAGGAGCAGAAGCAAAGCTCTCTGGCCTAACCGTGTTTGCTTGGATTGGGAACAGGGATCCTGGTTTGTTTGCTGAATAAAAGAACGGTTGCTTCCGAATTGCTTCTCAGCTGAGAATATGGGGTGTTTGGGAAATACGGTGCTTTCCATCTTTCTCTTTTTCCCTACTAGTTTGTTTTAAAATTTTATTTTATTATATTTTATTATTATTTCATTCTTATTCTTATTTTTTTTTTAATTTTATTTTTTATTTTATTTTATGTTCTATTTTTTTTTTATTTTATATTTTATTTTATTTTTATGTTAGATTTTTATTTTATATTTTATTTGGTTTATTTTATATTTTACTTTATTTTAGTTTATTTTATATTTTATTTTATTATTTTATTTTATTATTTTATTTTATTATTATTTCATTCTTATTCTTTTTATTTTTTATTTTATTTTTATTCTATATTTTATTTTATTTTTATTTTATATTTTATTTTAATTTTAGATTTTAATTTTATATTTTATTTGTTTTATTTTATATTTTATTTTATTTATTTTAGTTTATATTTTATTTTATTATTTTATTTTCTAATTATTTCATTCTTATTCTTATTTTTTATTTTAGTTTTATTTTTTATTTTATTTTATTTCTATTTTTTATTTTATTTTTATTATTTTATATTTTTTATTTTTATTTTATTTTTATTTTATATTTTATTTGTTTTATTTTATATTTTATTTTATTTATTTTAGTTTATTTTATATTTTATTTGTTTTATTTTATATTTTATTTTATTTTTTATTTTATTTTATATTTTATATTATTTTTTATTTTATTTTATTTTTATTATTTTATATTTTATTTTATTTATTTTATTTTATATTTTATTATTTTATTATATTTATTTTATATTTATTATTTTATTTTATTTTTTCCAACCTTGGAAGGAGCTAAATGAACAGAAGAATGTGAAGTTTTGGAGATTCTGGCTGGGGGGCCCTAGCTTCTTTCAAAAAAGTTTCAGTAAAGACAATATTGTAGCTCAGGATTGAAATGAAGTTCTTTCAGCCCGGTTGTTTCCTTGCAGACGTTTCATTACCCAATTAGGTAATGTCATCAGTGCTAGAAGGGAGTAAAGGAGGAGACAGGGAGGAGGAGGAGGACGACGACGACGACTGTGGGGGTCCTTGGTGCTCTCTGAGCTGGGTGGTTTTCTTGCAGACATTTCATTACCCAACTAGATAACATCATCAGTGCTAGGAGGGAGGGGGGATTTTGCGCTCTGTTTAACTCCCAAGAAAAAACCCACCCGTAGGACCAGCCCCCCCCATGTGTAAATAGAGAGGAAACCCCCTCTAGCCACGTCTTTCTAACACAGAGCTGGAGAAACAGGCAAAAAACTCTCTTTGTGGGTCGATCCTGAGCAGGTTGTCCCTCAGCTGAGGGAGAGCTGGGTGCTGATTCCTCTTAAATCAGACATAAATTATAATGAACTCTCTTGTCTCTTTCCCTTGCAGCCTCTTTACAACCAGCCTTCCGACACAAAAGTGTACCATGAAAACATCAAAACGTAAGAAAGAAGAAAGGGCTCCTTGGGATAATGCTTGCTTCAAGGGAGGGGGAGGGGGAAGGTCTTATTATTACTTTTTTTTTTTTTTGAGATGAAATTCCTGGCTTGTTTTATACTTGCCCTTTTAGTGGTTTTAGTTGTGATTAGAATAGAATAGAATAGAATAGAATAGAATAGAATAGAATAGAATAGAATAGAATAGAATGGAATGCAGGATAGAATAGAATAGAATGCAGATAGGATAGGATAGGATAGAATGCAGAATAGAATAGAGTTAGAATTAGAATAGAATAGAATTAATGGAATAGAATAGAATATGGAATAAGAATAGAATAGAGTATAATAAGAATAAGAATAGAATAGAATAGAATATGGAATAAGAATAAAATAGAATAGAAGAATAGAATAGAAGAATAGAATAGAATAGAACTGAACAGAATAAAACAGAACAGAATAGAACAAAATAGAACGGAATGGAGTGGAATGGAATAGAATAGAAAAGAAAATAGAATAGAATAGAAAATAGAATCAAATCGAACAGAATAGAATAGAATAGATTAGAACAGTGGTTCTCAACCTTTTTAATGCCGCGACCCCATAATACAGTTCCCCATGTTGTGGTGACCCCCAACCACTTATACATCACCGGGTGCCAGGGGCGTGGCCAAAGAAAAGGGAAAAAATGGCGGACTGCGTTTTTTGGCGACCCCTGTGAAATGATCGTTTGACCCCAAATGGGGTCCCGACCCACAGGTTGAGAACCACTGGATTAGAACATAACATAATAGAATACAATAGATAATAGAATAGAGAATAAAACATCAAAACAGAACAAAATAGAAAATAGAATAGAATAGAATTAAAATTAAAATAGAATAGAATTATAATTAGAGTAGAATAGAACTGGAATGGAATGGAATATAGGATAGGATAGGATAGGATAGGATAGGATAGGATAGGATAGGATAGGATAGAAACAGAGTCTGAAGGGACCTTCGAGGTCATCTAGTCCAACCCCCTGCTTAGGCAGGAAACCCTATACGCTCAACTGAGGTCCTCAACTTACAAGCACAACTGGAAACAGAATGTCCATTGCAAAGCGAGGCAGTCATTCAGTGAGTCACCACCCAATTTTATGAACCATTTTTCGGCACTGTGGGCTTAGCAAATCACCGCAGTGATTTGGTCGTTAAGTGAATCCGTCTCTCCCCCCCCCTCCACTGACTTGGCTTGTCTGAAGCCGGTTGGGAAAGTCGCAAGTGACAATAGACACATGACATGCACACATACACATACACACACACACACACACGGGATGCTGCAACCGTCATAAATATGCACCATCGCCACGCGCTTGAGTTTTGATCATGTGACCAAGGGGAATGCTGCAACGGTCGTAAGTGTGAGGACCAATTGTCAATGCCTTTTTTTTTTTTAAAGAAGTGCCGTTGTAACTTCGGACAGTCACTAAACGGGTGATTGCAAGTCTAGGACTACGAGTATCTCGATAGCAAGTTCAGGGGTACGAACTGTTTCTCCGTAAGGCTGATGCCCGGGACTGGGGTTTAATGATTAATAGTCTTTTTTGGCAGGCAGGCGTTCCACCGTGGGTGACTTCTTCCGCGCGCACGCACACAAAAAAGCCTTCTGCACGCTTTTTATCAACACAACTAGTATCTCCACACACACACACACACACGCTCCCCGATGAAAGCACATATACCAAAATAGGACACTAGCTGCCTTTTGTAAGCGAAGGGGGAACATTCCGAGGTGAAATTTGCCTGAGAATAAGCCGTGATACGGAATGAAAGAAACCTTGTCTTAGCTGTGTTGTGTTTGTTTGTCTCCCTGTTCCCCCCCCCCCCATTGTTTTTTTTTTTGGGTTAGGAACCAAGTGATGAGAAAAAAGCTGATTTTGTTTTTCAAGCGAAGGAATCATGCCAGAAAACAAAGGGTATGGCTGTCTTTCTTTCTTTCTTTCTTTCTTTCTTTCTTTCTTTCTTTCTTTCTTTCTTTCTTTCTTTCTTTCTTTCTTTCTTTCTTTCTCTCTCTCTCTCTCTCTCTCTCTCTCTCTTTCTCTTCTTCCTTCCTCTCTTTTTCTTTCTCTCTCTTTCTTCCCTCCCTCCTCCTTCTTTCCCCTCTTCCTTCCCCTCTCCCTTCCTCCCCTCCCTCCCTCCCTCCCTCCCTCCCTCCTTTCTTTCTTTCTTTCTTTCTTTCTTTCTTTCTCTCTCTCTCTCTCTTTCTTTCTTTCTTTCTCTTCTTCCTTCCTCTCTTTTTCTTTCTCTCTCTTTCTTCCCTCCATCCTCCTTCTTTCCCCTCTTCCTTCCCCTCTCCCTTCCTCCCCTCCCTCCCTCCCTCCCTTCTTTCTTTCTTTCTTTCTTTCTTTCTTTCTTTCTTTCTTTCTTTTTCTTCCTTCCTTCCTTCCTTCCTCTCTTTCTCTTTCTCTCTCTCTTTCTTCCCTCCCTCCTCCTTCCTTCCCCTCTTCCTCTCCCTTCCTCCCTCCCCCTTCCTCCCTCCCCCTCTCTCCCTCCCTCCCCTCTCCCTCCCTCCTTTCTTTCTTTATTTCCTTCCTTCCTTCCCCTCTCCCTCTCTCCCTCCCTCTCCCTCTCCTTCCCTCCGTCTCCATCTCTTCATCTGCCCTCCCTCCCTTCCCCTCTTCCTCTCCTTCCCTCCCTCTCTATCTCTCCCCTCCCTTCCTTCCCCTCTCCTTCTCCCGCCTTCCCTCTCTCTCCCTCCCCTTCTTTCTACCTGTTTCTCAGTCTCTCTGACTCCGACTCTTCGGTCTTTGGGGACTCCCCAGGAGCAGAAGATCTGCCAGCGCTACGACCAACTGATGGAGGCCTGGGAGAAGAAGGTGGACCGGATCGAGAACAACCCCCGCCGGAAGGCCAAAGAAAGCAAAACCCGGGAATATTACGAGAAGCAGTTCCCGGAGATCCGGAAGCAGCGGGAACAGCAGGAGAGATTCCAACGGTAAGGCAGGACCAGGAGGCCGGGCTACTTGAGGGACCGCCTCTTCCCGACCACCTCTGCCCGTCCCATCATGCTCAGCAGAAGCGGTACCTTGTGGGCCCGGTCCGCTAAAGACTTCCATCCGCCGGGCCTTTTCTGCAGTGGCTCCTGTTCCCCGAAGGCAGAACTCTGGGCCTGATCCATCCTGAGGACTCTTCTTCCATTCTCCTGGCTCTCCTCCTTTCATTTTTTTTTTTTAATTTATTTAACCTTTAGCTCTTTAATCTAAAGGCCATTGATCTTTATTAAAAACGTGTTTATGAAAGAAAGATTCATTTAACCTTTAAAATGAAATGATTCATGTAACTTATTTCTTTATTGAAGAGACCGGACAGCCGTTGGTCTGAAATGGTATAGGGGTTTCCTGACTGAGCTGGGGGTTGGACTAGATGACCTCCAAGGTCCCTTCCAACTCTGTTGTTCTGCCTGCCTTCCCTTCCTTCCTTCCTTCCTTCCTTCCTTCCTTCCTTCCTTCCTTCCTTCCTTCCTTCCTTCCTTCCTTCTCCAACACTGGACGTTTTTAAGAAGAGAACAGACAGCCCTTTGTCTGGAATGGTATATAGGGTTTCCTGCCTGAGCAGGGGGTTGGACTAGATGACCTCCAAGGTCCCTTCCGACTTTATTATTATTATTAACCACCTGCCTCCAGAAGTTGTGGATGCTGCAACACTGGAAGTTTTGAAGAAGGGACTGCACAGCCCTTTGTCTGGAATGGTATATAGGGTTTCCTGCCTGAGCAGGGGGTTTGGACTAGATGACCTCCAAGATCCCTTCCAACTTTGTTGTTGTTGTTGTTGTTGTTATTATTCCAAAAGATAACCCAAAACTTTCTTCTCCTTGACCTTCTTTCCTTGTGGCACCTGCAGGGTGGGTCAAAGAGGAACCGGCCTTTCGGCCACCATCGCTCGGAGCGAGCACGAAATCTCGGAGATCATCGACGGGCTGTCGGAGCAGGAGGTGAGGGTGATCGGGGCTGGGGTGGGGTGGGGACCTTCCCCCTTTCCCCCTCGGAGGGTTTGGGAAAGGGGAGGGGGAGGTGCTTTTCCCGGGTAGACCGATCTTAGATATTTGTAGAGGGTTGTCTTTTTTTAAGTGGTGGGCCGTCTCTAGGTCAGGCAAACAAAGAAAAAAGAAAAAAAAACAGTAATAATTAGGGGTATGGTCCAGGCAGTCCTCGGTTTACGACCGCAGCTGGGACCAGGATTTCCGTTGCTAAGCAAGTGGGTGGTTAAATGAGTCAGAGCTGATTTTACAAGCTTTTTTTTTTTTGCGCCAGTTGTTCAAATCACTAGACTTGTTAAGGGAATCACACACGATGGGGGGGGGGGAAGAGATGGTGGCTGTTGGTTTCTCCCTTTCTTCCTCCCAACCTCCCTCCCCTTCCTTCCTTCCTTCCTCTCCCTAACTCTTCATTCTACACTCCCTCCCTCCTTCCTTCCTTCTTTCTCATTTCTTTTGAACCGTCCTTCTTTCCTCCCTCCCTCCCTTTTTTTCTTCCTTCCTTCCTTCCTCTCCCTAACCCTTCATTCTACTCCCTCCTTCCTTTCTTCTTTCTCATTTCCTTTGAACCTTCCTTCTTTCTGCCCTCACTCCCTTTTTTTCCTTCCTTCCTTCCTTCCTTCCTTCCTTCCTTCCTTCCTTCCTTCCCCTAACCCTTCATTCTACTCCCTCCCTCCTTCCTTCTTTCTCATTTCTTTTGAACCTTCTTCCCTCCCTCCCTCCCTTTTTTCCTTCCTTTCTTCCTCTCCCTAACCCTTCATTCTACTCCCTCCCTCCTTCCTTTCTTCTTTCTCATTTCTTTTGAACCTTCCTTCTTTGTGCCCTCCCTCCCTTTTTTCCTTCCTTCCTTCCTTCCTTCCTTCCTTCCTTCCTTCCTTCCTTCCTTCCTTCCTTCCTCTCCCTAACCCTTCATTCTACTCCCTCCCTCCTTCTTTTCTTCTTTCTCTTCCTTTGAACCTTCCTTCTTTCCACCCTCCCTCCCTTTTTTTCCTTCCTTCCTTCCTTCCTTCCTTTCTTTCTCTCCCTAACCCTTCATTCTACTCCCTCCCTCCTTCCTTTCTTCTTTCTCATTTCCTTTGAACTTTCCTTCCTTCCTTCTTTCCTCCCTTTTTTCCTTTCCTTCCTTCCATCATGCCTCCTTCCTCTCCCTCCCTCCCTCCTTTTATCTCCTTCCTTCCTTCCTTCCTTCCTTCCTTCCTTCCTTCCTTCTCCCTCCCTCCCTCCCTCCCTTCCTCTTTTTTTCTTCCTGTTTTTCCTTTTCCTTTTTTCTTTCTGTTTCTGTGTCTCTTCAGTCTTCGGGAAATAACCAGGAACTGAAGATCTGCCAGCACGGACCTTACAATGTGCTGGCTGACCTGGGCCCACTCAGCAGAGGTAGAAACGATGCAGTCAGTGTTCACATTGTGTCGTTCTTCTTCTTTTCCTTCCCCCCCTTCTCCCGTCACCCCCCCTGCTTCTAGAACAACGAGAAGCAAATGCGCCAGCTGTCCGTCATCCCCCCCATGATGTTCGATGCCGAACAGCGACGCGTGAAGTTCATCAACATGAATGGGCTGATGGAGGACCCCATGAAGGTCTACAAGGATCGGCAGTTCATGAACGTCTGGACCGATCACGAGAAGGAGATCTTTAAAGAAAAGTAATCCCCCCCCCCCCGTTATTTCCTCCTCTGGAGAGAAATCGCTGGCATACAACTCAAGTCTTGCACGGTCTTTGCGCCGTCTGGCGTGTACATGTCTAAGCGTACTCCTCGAGTTACGACTGCATTTGGGGTTAGAATTTCCACCACTAACCAAGCCGTGAGCGATTATACAACCGTTGGGGGAAAAAGTCACGGGGGGGAAGCCTGATTCGCTTAACGACTGCGTGAGTTCTCTTAACAACTGTGCCAAAAATGATTAGAGTTGAGCAATAAGGTTACCGACTTGAAGAACAGAGCTTTTCTTTATCTGCTACTGGGGTGGTTTTGGAGAAAATGCTAGTCACAAAGATTTGAAAGAAAGTGTTTTGTGGGGCGCTGACTTTGAGATTGTGCAATGTGTACAGTGGAGAGGAATAACCACCAAAGTAAGTAAAATGCCCCTTTCTGGCTTTTGGGCCATGGTGTCATGGTTCTGACAGATGAAACTCTTCAAAAGAACTTCGAGGCATTGTTTACCTTAAAGAATCTTTTATTCGGGAAACAAAGTATGGGCACTACATAGTTGAAACCAAAAACTAAATTCTCTTCCCCTGGATACAAAGTAACAAAGCACAATTCCCTCCTCCAATAAACCATCATAAATCACATTCTCCTATTAGTTTGAAATGCGGGCTTTCCCTCCAGTTCTCCAACCTGGCTATTTCTTATCATCTCTTATTTCAATAACCTTGGTTCTCATGCTAGGTCCAGTGTTGTTATGTCTAGCTAAACTCTCATGCACATTCCTCCTCCCAGCATTATCTAATTCTAATTCTAAGAGTAAAGCATAAGAAGAAAATGGTTGCACGTTGTTCCACTAGTTATTTTTTCTCACTGTCAGGAAGTTCCTAGGTTGCTTCTCTCCTTGGTTAGTTTCCATCCGTTGCTTCTTGTCCTACCTTCAGGTGCTTTGGAGAATATCTTGACTGCCTCTTCTTTGGGGCAGCCCATGAGATTCTGGAACACGGCTATCATGTCCCCCCTTGTCCTTCTCTTCATTAAACTAGACATACTCGATTCCAGCAACCGTTCCTTATATGTTTTAGCCTCCAGACCTCTAATCATTTTTGTTGCTCTTCTCTGCACTCTTTCTAGAGTCTCAACATCTTCTTGTCGAGCTAGGGAGGAAGGGGGAGTGGTGTTTGCAGAATGGAAGAGAAGAAGAAGAGGGGGGAGGGAGGAGGAAGAGGAAGAGAAAGAAGAGGATTGTGGGGTCCTTGGGGCTCTCTGAGTTTGATAGTTTTCTTGCAGACGTTTCATGACCCAACTAGGTAACATCATCAGTGCTAGAGGAGAGGGGAGTTTGCAGGGAGGAGGAGAGGACGAGGAAGATGACTTTGGGGTCTTTGGTGCTCTCTGAGCTTGGTGGTTTTCTTGCAGACGTTTCATCACCTAACTAGGTAACATCAGGTAACTAGGAACGGTTGCTGGAATTGGGTATGTCTAGTTTAACGAAGAGAAGGACAAGGGGGGACATGATAGCAGCCTTCCAGTATCTCAGGGGCTGCCCCAAAGAAGAGGGAGTCAAGCTGTTCTCCAAAGCCCCTGAAGGCAGGACGAGAAGCAACAGTTTCTATCCACGGTTTTTGGTTCTGCCTTCAGGTGCTTTGGAGAATAGGTTAACCCCCCTCTCTTGTTTGTGGAAGCCCCACAAAAACTGGACTGCTGCTATCATATCCCCCCAAGTCCTTCTTTTCTCTAGACCAGCCAAACCCAAATCCTGCCACCGTTCTTCCTATGTTTTAGTCTCCAGGCCTTTAATCCTCTTAGTTGCTCTTCTCTTCTCAACCTGGAACTACGGAGAAACTTCCTGACAGTGAGAACAATTAACCAGTGGAATCACCTGCCTCCAGAAGCGGTGAATGCTCCAACACTGGAAGTTTTTAAGAAGAGACCGGACAGCCATTTGTCTGAAATGGGATAGGGTTTCCTGCCTGAGCAGGGGGTTGGACTAGATGACCTCCAAGATCCCTTCCAACTACTACTACTACTACTATTACTACTACTACTTTGACAGCGGGCAACTACATTTCATTTTTGACGTGTGGTGCTGTGCCCACAGGAAAAAAAAATGACAATAAAGGTTATCTCAGTGATGGCGAAGCTTTTAGAGACCGAGTGCCCAAACTGCAACCCAAAACCCACTTATTATTACTACTACTACTACTACTACTACTACTACTACTACTACTATCATCCTTGCAAATATAAGGGCTGCATATTCAGGAAGCTCTCTGATCGTCAGAAGTCCTGTCAGGTGCCTTCAGGTGAAATGGCCTCTTCAATCCAAGCCCTCCCTAAAAGGGACCTTGCTTCATTATCTCTTGAAATGCTCCTCTAGCTTTTTAAAAAAAATAAAAATAACACAGGCCAATGCTATCTGGGTTAGATAGGCAGACAGACCTCTGTGAGGTAAACTGGCTGGTACTAAGGAAAACTGGTTTGTCCACTTCCTGTCCTGGTTTACACTCGGCTTCTGCAGAGGCCAGACGTGGCCCTGAGCCCAGCTGGGCCTGGTAATGTAAGGGAGGGGATAAGGTAAGATAAGATAACCCAGTGGTGGCGAACCTACGGCATGGGTGCCAGAGGTGGCACTCAGAGCCCTCTCTGTGGGCACGCGCGCCGTCACCCCAGTCCTAGGCCTTCAGCTGGGTTTTATAAAATCTTTTCGCTTTAGGCCTCCGCCGCCGTGTGCAAAAAAAAAGGGGGTTCAATCAGTCAATCAATTTCAACTTCTCGTGGGAAAAAAAAACGATCTTGCAAAGTTGGAATTGATTGATTGAACTTTTTAGTCCCACCCAGTCTGCTGTTACCACTGCAGCCACGCCCACCCAATGGGCCACACCCGATGAATCATAAGTGGGTTTTGGGTTGCAGTTTGGGCACTCGGTCTCTGAAACGTTCGCCATCACTGAGATAACCTTTATTGTCATTTTTTTTCCCCTGTGGGCACAGCACCACACGTCAAAAATGAAATGTAGTTGCCCGCTCTCAAAGTGAACACGTACACGACACACACCTAAACATACTATGTACAACATTAAGCCTGTTGTAGGCCTGTCTGTCAATCAGGGAGTCTGCTAAACCTGTCTCTTTTTTCGGGTTTTTTATCACAGATTTGTCCAGCATCCTAAGAATTTTGGCCTGATTGCTTCCTATTTGGAAAGAAAGGTAAGAGGGTGCTTTGTTATCATGGAGGATAATGAGGCCATAAGCTGCAGGGCACAATATTTTATTTTACGTTTTATTTTATTTGGATGTTATATTTTATTTTTATTCTATTTTATCTTATTAGTTTATTTTACTTTATTTATTTTATTTTATTATTTATTTTATTTTATTGTTTATTGTTTGATTTGATGTGTTATTTTACTTTTATTTTAATTTTATATTTTATTTTTCTATTTTAATTTATTAGTTTATTTTACTTTATTATTTGATTTGATTTGTTATTTTAATTTGATTTGATTTGATTTATTTTTATTTTATTTTATTTTAATTTATTGATTTGATTTATTTGATTTGTTATTTTAATTTACTTTAATTTTAATTTTATATTTTATTTTTGTATTGTATTAGTTTATTTTACTTTATTATTTTATTTTATTTTATGTTTGATTTGATTTGTTATTTGATTTTAATTTATTGATTTGATTTGATTTGTTATTTGATTTTAATTTATTGATTGATTTGTTTTGTTATTTGATTTTAATTTATTGATTTGATTTGATTTGTTATTTGATTTATCATTTTTATTTGATTTCATTTTAATTTTATATTATATTTTTCTATTTTATTTTATTAACTTATTTTACTATTTATTATTATTTTATTTGTTATTTTATTTGATTTGTTATTTTAATTTAATTTTGTTCCTAAGGTGGGACTAGAACTCACCGTCTCCAGATGATTGGCCCAGTGTTGCCCAGATGGGTTTCATGCCAAAGGCGGGATTAGAACTCACCATCTCCTAGCGATTGGCCCAAAGTCACCCAGCTGACTTTCTTGCCTAAGGCGGGACTACAACTCACCGTCTCCTGGTGATTGGCCCAAAGTCACCCAGCTGGCTTTCATGGCTAAGGCGGGACTAGACCTCACCGTCTCGTAGTGATTGGCCCAAAGTCACCCAGCTGTCTTTTGTGCTTAAAGCAGGATTAGAATGCCTAGCCACTGTCATAAGGCTGTGAGTTCTAGTCCCACCTTAGGCCGGCTGCGTAACCTTGGGCCAGCCCCTCTCAGCGCAGTCTACCTCGCGGTTTTTTTCATGGGTAAAATAGGAAGAGGAAGGTCTGTTGGATACGTCCATCACCTTTGGTTATTTGTAAAAATAATAAAAAGCAGGATATCATAAATAAATCTCCATCCAATGGAAGCCGGCTCCTTATTTGGGCTGGCGATTCCAGCTGCTCTTAGCGCTAGGAAAATTTTTACTAGCATCTGATATGAAGTGGCTGTCCCGTCTCTCGGTTGCGTTTTGTGTTTGTGTGGGGTTTTGCTGCGCAGAATATTCAGAGAGTCTCGCCTTAGTGTCTGCTTTGGGAAAGGTTTACGTCTTAAAAACCGTCTCCCCCTTCGCCCTTTCAGAACGTGCCCGACTGCGTCCTGTATTATTACTTGACCAAGAAAAATGAAAACTACAAGGCCCTGGTGCGACGGAACTACGGCAAGCGGCGAGGGAGAAACCAGGTGCGTTGCATTTGAGGTTTCTAGTCCCTGGTTTTCTTAAAATGGAAAAGGCTGTGTGTTATTTTGGGGGTTTTTTTAATTGATGCTTCCTTTTGGAATGTATTCACCTGTATTGGGCCAAGGTGGTGGTGGTGGTGGTGGTGATGATGATGATGATGGTGATGATGATGATGATAATAATAATAATAGTAATGGCTAAGAGCAGGAAAATTGAAGAAAGAGACCAAGGGACTAATTCTGGCTGCACAAGACCAAGCCTTAAGGACAAATGCATACGAAGTCAAAATTGAGAAGACAGCAACAGACAGTAAGTGCCGCCTGTGCAAAGAAGCTGAAGAAACAGTGGACCACTTGGTAAGCTGTTGCAAGAAGATTGCACAGACTGACTACAAGCAGCGGCATGGCAAAGTAGCAACAATGGTGCATTGGAAGATCTGCAAAAAATATCATTTGCCTGTAAGCAAAAACTGGTAGGATCATAAAATAGAGAAAGTCATAGAAAATGATAAAATTAAACTGCTCTGGGACTTCAGAATTCAAACAGACAAGCACCTGCAACATAACACCCCAGACTTAACAATTGTCGATAAGAAAGACAAAAAAGTCTGGATAGTGGACGTGGCAGTGCCTGGAGATAGCAGAATAGAAGAGAAAGAACTGGAGAAGATAACAAAATACAAAGACCTACAAATAGAAATAGAAAGACTGTGGCAAAAGCAAGCAAGGGTAGTACCAATAGTCATAGGCTCCTTGGGTGCAATCCCAAAACAACTGGAGCACCACTTGAACACCATTGGCATTGACAAATTCGCTATTAGTCAATTGCAAAAGGCGGCCTTATTAGGAACTGCTTCCATCCTGCGACGATATCTGTAATACCATCAAACATCACATCTGCCTATCCCAGGTCCTGGGTAAGGATTCGAGAGGTAGACAAAATGCCAAATCCAATCTGAACATCTGGCTGACTATGTGATGATCCATAATATAATAATAAAGTTGGAAGGGACCTTGGAGGTCATCTAGTCCAACCCCTTGCTCATGCAGGAAACCCTATCCCATTTCAGACAAATGGCTGTCCAGTCTCTTTTTAAAAACCTCCAGTGTTGGAGCATTCACCGCTTCTGGAGGCAGGTTGTTAATAATAATAATAATAATGTTGGAAGGGACCTTGGAGGTCATCTAGTCCAACCCCCCTGCTCAGGCAGGAAACCCTATATACCATTTCGGACAAATGGCTCGCCCAAATGGCTCCATCCAGTTGGGCAAGGGAGGATTATTTCCAGCCTTGACTATGTGTCTTATGTACATTCCTGGTTTGTTATGCTGGTTTGATACGATCGGGGTTTGATTCGTTCAGTTTTGATTGCTACCCGCCAGCACTGTTCTCAATTGCAAGCTGAATGGCCTTCACAAAAATTCGGGACGGGCAGAAATAGATGTACAGGTGGTCCTCGACTTAACGGCCGCAACTGAGCCCAACGTTTATGTTGCTAAGTGAGAAATTAACGTTACATGAGTTTTGCCCCATTTTACGACTTTTCTCGCCCCATTTAAGTGAGTCGCTGCGGCCGTTAAATTAGTCACACGGTCGTTAAGTGGATCTGGCTTCCCCCCCCCCCGACTTTGCTTGTCAGACAGTCGCAAAAGAGGACCACGTGACCTCAGGAGACTGACCGTCATAAATACGAGCCATTTGCCAAGTGTCTGAATTTTGACTGTGGGGATGTGGCAAATGGTCATAAATGTGAAAAATGGTCATAAATCGCTTTTTTCAGGGCCGTTTTAACGTCAAACGGTCACTAAATGAACTGATGTAAGTGGAGGGCTACCTCTAGTTCTTGGCTTACAACCCTTTGTTTAGTGACCGCTCAAAGTTACAATGGCACTTTAAAAAAAAAGTGACATCGCCATTTTACACACAAACTATTGCAGCATCCCTATGGGTCACATCATCCAGATTTGCCAACTGCCTCCTATTTATGACGATCACAGTGTTCCCGGGGTCACAGAATCCCCCTTTGCAACCTTCTCTACAAGCAAAGTCAATGGGGAAGCCAGATTCACTTAACAACCGTGATACTGGCATCACAACTACGGTTGATTTGCTGAACCACTGCGGTGCCAAAAAGTTGTAAATGAGACAAACAATTAATTGAACAGCTATCTCGCTTAGCAACAAAAAGGTTGGGCTCAATTGTAAGTTGAGGACCACAATTACATATATTTAGATCAGGGGTTTTCAAACTTTGCCACTTTGTGGACTTCAACTCCCAGAATTCCTCAGCCGGCCAGTTATCCGGCTTGTGGATTTCAACTCCCAGAATTCCTCAGCCAGTCAGCCAGCTTGTAGACTTCAACTCCCAGAATTCCTCAGCCAGTCAGCCAGCTTGTGGACTTCAACTCCCAGAATTCCTCAGCCGGCCAGTCAGCCAGCTTGTGGACTTCAACTCCCAGAATTCCTCAGCCGGCCAGTCAGCCGGCTTATGGACTTCAACTCCCAGGATTCCTCAGTCAGCCCTGGCTGACTGAGGAATTCTGGGAGTTGAAGGCCACAGGTCTTAAAGTTGCCAAGTGAAGACCCCTGATTTAGATCAATGTTTTTCCACCTTTGCCCTCTTTAAAATGAGTTTTCAACTCCCAGAATAGCTGGCTGGGGAATTCTGGGAGTTGAATGCCACCCACTTTATAGTGGCTGAGGTTGAGAAATGCTGATTTAAACCTTATCCACCACTTCTGTTGATCGGAAAAGAAAGCAAAAGTAATTTTAAGTGCATATATAAATGAATAAAAATAATATTCCTAAGGAACCAAAATGATCTCCAATCTCAAGAGGGTTTGAAAAAAATGGCTGTTCCAGGTTCGGTACTTAGAGTTGTCAGCTCTCTTGACAACTACCCCTGGACAAAATCCAGATGAGTTTGTAAGCGCGGACCAAAAAAACCACAACACACACAGACAAGGCACACATGACAACAAAGAGCATAATGGCTGGGTAATTCTGGGAGTTGGTCCACCCCTCTTAAAGTATGCTGGCTGGGGGATTCTGGTAGGTCCACCCCCGTTAAAGCATGCTGGTGGGAAATTCTGGGAGTGGAAGTCCATCCATCTTAAAGCAAACTGGCTGGGGAATTCTGGAGTGGAAGTCCACCCCTCTTAAAGCAGGCTGGCTGGGAATTCTGGGAGCGGAAGTCCATCCCTCTTAAAGCAGGTTGGCAGGGGAATTCTGGGAGTGGAAATCCACCCCTCTTAAAGCATTCTGGCTGGGAATTCTGGGAGTGGAAGTCCATCCCTCTTAAAGCAGGCTGTCAGGGGAATTCTGGGAGTGGAAGCCCACCCCTCTTAACGCAAGCTAGCTAAGGAATTCTGGGAGTTAAACTCCATCCATCTTAAAGCAAGCTGGCTGGGTAATTCTGGGAGTTGAAGTCCACCCATCTTAAAGTGTCCTGGCTAGGGAATTCTGGGAGTGGAAATCCACCCCTCTTAAAGCATGACAGCTGAGAAATTCTGGGAGTTGAAGTCCACCCATCTTAAAGCATGCTGGCTGAGGAATTCTGGGAGTTGAAGTCCATCCCTCTTAAAGCCTGCTGGCAGGAGAATTCTGGGAGTGGAAGTCCACCCCTCTTAAAGCGTGCTGGCTGAGGAATTCTGGGAGTTGAAGTCCACCCATCTTAAAGCAGGCTGGATAGGAGATTTTAGGAGTAGAAATCCACTCAATTTCAAGTTGCCAACGTTGAAATACACTGCTTTACTAAATCAGCAAGATGTCTTCGGGCTGGAAGAGACCTTGGAGATCTTCTAGTCTAGTCTGAACCCCTGGAGTCTTCACCCCTTTTACCTCAGTCGTTCTCCTCATACATTTCCCTCAAGATCATTTTCTCTATTCCAAGTGAGCAGGCAGCCATGTTAGGCGTTTGCCGTTCACCCCACCCGTTTATGTCTTCCCTCTCCTCACTTTCCAAATTTCGTTCTCCATTTACAGGGTAGAGCAGCAGATATTTGATGAGTTCCGGTAAAGCTTGTCCCGGTTAATTAATAACCACCCGGCTTAATTACCGAGGGTCACATGTCAAACCGGAGAGCCATCAGTTAGATATTATTTCTGCTGGATTTACCTTTTGCATTTTTGTGTTGCTAGTTCTTGAGTCTGAACCTTTTTTTCAGCGGGTGAAACAGGGCGTTCCTTGCGTTGTTTTCAACACAGTGGGTTCAATACACTCGTTGTGACCGTAATCGTGTTTTAAGATCATTTCCAGGTTTGCATAGACCGCTAGAGGCTGCAGGCTGAAGGAAGCACAGGGCAGTAGGTTTCAAATTACAGGGTAGTCCTCGGCTTACGACCACAAGGGAGCCCCCTCAAATTTACGTGGTTAAGGGACAAATTTGTTAAGGGAGTTTTGCCCCATTTTACAACCCTTCCTTGCCACCATCGTTAAGGGAATCAGCACCGTTGTTAAGTTAGTAACCTGGTTGGTAAGGTAATTCAGCTTCCTCCATTGATTTTGCTTGTGAGAAGGTCGCAAAAGGGGATCACGTGATCCCGAGCCATGGCAACCGTCATAAATGTGAGTGAGTTGTCAAGCATCCAAATGTAAATCAGGTGACCATGGAAATACTGCAGTGCCCCCCCCATCATCTCCTAGCCATATTTCATCCTCGCCCCTCACCGTCCGCCTGTTCTCCCTGCTGGCATGAAGCTGACACCCCCCATCTGGAAGGGATCAAACTGGCAAAATTGAGTGAACCCAGCCCAGGCAGACTTCAGCCGGTCTCGTGCTGCCCTAGAAGAAGAAGAAGAAAAGAAGAAGAAGAAGAAAAAGAAGAAGAGAAGAGGAAGAGGAAGAAAAAAAGAAGGAGAAGGAGGAGAAGAAGGAAAAGGAGAAGAAGAAAAGAGGAGGAGGAGGAGGAGAAGGGGAGGAGGAGGAGAAGAAAGAAAAAGAAGAAAAGAGGAGGAGGAGGAGAAGAAGGGGAGGAGGAGGAGAAGAAGAAAGGAGAAGAAG